TAACAACCGAATAAATAATCAGTCATAAAACTCTGGTATCTGAGAGATTAATAGGGAGATGTCACTAAGTATTATGTGTACTCACACCTATATCCACTGAACAAGTATTTGCAAGTTGTGAAAATACAATTTAATGTAGAAACCCACATCTCTTTGTCCTCTAACTGGGGCCTCCATCTTAGCTCCCTGTCAATCATTGTTATAAGCTCCGCCCTTTACACCTGGCAGTCAGTATAGAGAGAGCCGCCTCCATCTTAGCTCCCTGTCAATCATTGTTATAAGCTCCGCCCTTTACACCTGGCAGTCAGTATAGAGAGAGCCCCCTCCATCTTAGCTCCCTGTCAATCATTGTTATAAGCTCCGCCCATTACACCTGGCAGTCAGTATAGAGAGAGCCACCTCCATCTTAGCTCCCTGTCAATCATTGTTATAAGCTCCGCCCATTGCACCTGGCAGTCAGTATAGAGAGAGCCGCCTCCATCTTAGCTCCCTGTCAATCATTGTTATAAGCTCCGCCCTTTACACCTGGCATTCAGTATAGAGAGAGCCGCTTCCATCTTAGCTCCCTGTCAATCATTGTTATAAGCTCCGCCCTTTACACCTGGCAGTCAGTATAGAGAGCGCCGCCTCCATCTTAGCTCCCTGTCAGTCATTGTTATAAGCTCCGCGCTTTACACCTGGCAGTCAGTATAGAGAGCGCCGCCTCCATCTTAGCTCCCTGTCAGTCATTGTTATAAGCTCCGCCCTTTACACCTGGCAGTCAGTATAGAGAGAGCCGCCTCCATCTTAGCTCCCTGTCAATCATTGTTATAAGCTCCACCCTTTACACCTGGCAGTCAGTATAGAGAGCCACCTCCATCTTAGCTCCCTGTCAATCATTGTTATAAGCCCGCCCTTTACACCTGGCAGTCAGTATAGAGAGAGCCGCCTCCATCTTAGCTCCCTGTCAATCATTGTTATAAGCTCAGCCCTTTACACCTGGCAGTCAGTATAGAGAGAGCCGCCTCCATCTTAGCTCCCTGTCAATCATTGTTATAAGCTCCGCCCTTTATACCTGGCAGTCAGTATAGAGAGAGACGCCTCCATCTTAGCTCCCTGTCAATCATTGTTATAAGCTCCGCCCTTTACACCTGGCAGTCAGTATAGAGAGCAGCCTCCATCTTAGCTCCCTGTCAGTCATTGTTATAAGCTCCGCCCTTTACACCTGGCAGTCAGTATAGAGAGAGCCTCCTCCATCTTAGCTCCCTGTCAATCATTGTTATAAGCTCCGCCCTTAACACCTGGCAGTCAGTATAGAGAGAGCCACCTCCATCTTAGCTCCCTGTCAATCATTGTTATAAGCTCAGCCCTTTACACCTGGCAGTCAGTATAGAGAGAGCCGCCTCCATCTTAGCTCCCTGTCAATCATTGTTATAAGCTCAGCCCTTTACACCTGGCAGTCAGTATAGAGAGAGCCGCCTCCATCTTAGCTCCCTGTCAGTCATTGTTATAAGCTCCGCCCTTTACACCTGGCAGTCAGTACAGAGAGAGCCACCTCCATCTTAGCTCCCTGTCAATCATTGTTATAAGCTCCGCCCTTTACACCTGGCAGTCAGTATAGAGAGAGCCGCCTCCATCTTAGCTCCTGTCAATCATTGTTATAAACTCCGCCCTTTACACCTGGCAGTCAGTATAGAGAGAGCCGCCTCCATCTTAGCTCCCTGTCAATCATTGTTATAAGCCCCGCCCTTTACACCTGGCAGTCAGTATAGAGAGAGCCGCCTCCATCTTAGCTCCCTGTCAATCATTGTTATAAGCCCCGCCCTTTACACCTGGCAGTCAGTATAGAGAGAGCCGCCTCCATCTTAGCTCCCTGTCAGTCATTGTTATAAGCTCCGCCCCTTTACACCTGGCAGTCAGTATAGAGAGAGCCGCCTCCATCTTAGCTCCCTGTCAATCATTGTTATAAGCTCCGCCCATTACACCTGGCAGTCGGTATAGAGAGAGCCGCCTCCATCTTAGCTCCCTGTCAATCATTGTTATAAGCTCCGCCCATTACACCTGGCAGTCGGTATAGAGAGAGCCACCACCATCTTAGCTCCCTGTCAATCATTGTTAATAAGCTCCAGCCCTTTACATCTGGCAGTCAGTATAGAAGAGCCACCTCCATCTTAGCTCCCCTGTCAATCCCATTGTTATAAGCTCCATCCCTTTACACCTGGCAGTCAGTATAGAGAGAGCCACCTCCATCTTAGCTCCCTGTCAATCATTGTTATAAGCTCTGCCCTTTACACCTGGCAGTCAGTATAGAGAGCGCCACCTCCATCTTAGCTCCCTGTCAATCATTGTTATAAGCTCCGCCCTTTACACCTGGCAGTCAGTATAGAGATAGCCGCCTCCATCTTAGCTCCCTGTCAATCATTGTTTGAGCTCCGCCCTTTACACCTGGCAGTCAGTATAGAGAGAGCCGCCTCCATCTTAGCTCCCTGTCAATCATTGTTATAAGCCCCGCCCTTTACACCTGGCAGTCAGTATAGAGAGAGCCGCCTCCATCTTAGCTCCCTGTCAATCATTGTTATAAGCTCCACCCTTTACACCGGGCAGTCAGTATAGAGAGAGCCGCCTCCATATTAGCTCCCTGTCAATCATTGTTATAAGCTCCACCCTTTACACCTGGCAGTCAGCATAGAGAGAGCCACCTCCATCTTAGCTCCCTGTCAATCATTGTTATAAGCTCCGCCCTTTACACCTGGCGGTCAGTATAGAGAGAGCCGCCTCCATCTTAGCTCCCTGTCAATCATTGTTATAAGCTCCGCCCTTTACACCTGGCAGTCAGTATAGAGAGAGCCACCTCCATCTTAGCTCCCTATCAATCATTGTTATAAGCTCCGCCCTTTAAACCTGGCAGTCAGCATAGAGAGAGCCGCCTCCATCTTAGCTCCCTGTCAATCATTGTTATAAGCTCCGCCCTTTACACCTGGCAGTCAGTATAGAGAGAGCCGCCTCCATCTTAGTTCCCTGTCAATCATTGTTATAAGCTCCGCCCTTTACACCTGGCAGTCAGTATAGAGAGAGAAGACAGAGAGGAGGCGACATGACACAATGGCCTCAAGTTAGTATTTTTCAATAAGCTTTTCAAATTTTTAAAATATCCAATACTATTTATTATATCAAAGTTTATTTTTAAAAAAATACCAAAAATACAGAGTAACGATATTACCGTGAAATGAATACTCCAACACTATGCCCACTGCAGAACACGCTATCTCTTATGGTGCACAGAGTGTTCTTTTATGGGTTATGAACAACTCTGTTGAAACTGAAATAATTAAAAACAATCTTTTCCTCTTTGGTAAATTCAATCCTCGATGTTCTCTCCTTTTTTGCCAGATATATATATATAACTATCCGCAAGACGATATCCTTGATGAACGTTTTAAGGGCCGTCTGGTTTGGAATGGAAGCAGGAATACGGAAGATATACAAGATATGTCAGTCATTATAACCAACGTCTCTTACAGTCATCACGGGGACTACATTTGTAAAGTAAACCGAACACTCACATTCAACAGCCATGAATACAATACCAACGTCACCAAATTTATCCACCTGACAGTGGTGGCCAAAGGTGAGGTGGTGACATTTAAAGTGTAAAGAGATATCTGCGTTGGTGAAGACTATATATATATATATATATGTGGAGGAATCCACCTGCATAATATAC